ATCACAAAGACAAAACGCCAAAACACAGACTTAACAATGTGGTGTATGCTGTACAGTGCAGCGAGGAATGCTCAGACCTCTACATCGGAGAGACCAAACAGCCACTTCACAAGCGCATGGCACAACACAGAAGAGCCACCTCCACAGGACAAGACTCAGCAGTCCATCTGCATCTAAAGGTCAAACGTCACTCTTTGAGGATGCCAATGTTCACATTTTGGACAGAGAGGACAGATGGTTTGAAAGAGGAGTTGTTAATTTGGGTTGAACCCAGGACTCGCTTGGGTCCTTCTTAATGAGATCAGGAATACTTGGAGTTGTTTTCTCTTGTGCCATTACATGTGGTGGCTGGTAGGCTGGGGATGGATGAGGTTTATATTGCAATGATGTTGTGATAGGTCTTGGTACCTCGGCGACGGGCTGCTGGCTCCAGATGTTGGTGGGGGCTTGACTCTGGAAACTGGGATAAGCCCTAGCAGAAAACTGCTCCTGCCAAGGAGGCTTCAAATGTTGCTGAATGATAGGTGGATGTTCAAACTGAAAGGAAGGTGCACTGTTGGGGAATGGCGGGGTTGGCCAACTAGCTGTCAGTGTCTGCTCCTTTAACAGCTGTAGTTCACCCATCATCCTATCCAATGTATCAATCATTGTGGTATCCTTGGGTGGAATACTCTGAGCTAATGGTGGGAGAAAGTATGGCCTTTGGTATTCTTGTTGAGCATGGATGTCCTGCCTATTGTCATGCTGCGGCCATGGACTCATTCGTGCATCTATTCTATGTGTATGGGAACTAATCGTGGGGACACTGATGGGCTGCATACGTTGGAAGGAAGACAGAGGGGGTACATGTGTTGGGGGTGGTCTCTGGTCCCATTGTTCTGACAGGTAACCACCTCTGTCTGGTTCACGTGTTTGGGCGTAAGGCTGAGGTCTGCCATTCATACCATACTGCGAACCCGAAACCGCAGACATTTCCCATGGTCGATGGAAAGGAGAAGGAGGCTGATGGTTCAGGCCATCCCTACTGGACACATGCTGCCGCATATCCTGCAGATCATTCGGAGAAGCAGTCCATTCATCCACGGTGTGTTCCCATCCAGGCTGACTTGTTGGGCTAGACGAGCGGGAGGTCTGTACAGACACTGCCGATGGCACGTACTGCTTTCGCTCTTCTAGCCCAGGTGCATACTGTGCTGTGTACGAGTGACGGTAGG